TAAAAAAGTGGAAATTTGATCGTTACTTATCCAATACACAATCAAACAGAGGAAATAAGAAAAACATCTTACAACAAAAATGAGGAGGAAGACGACGATCAACATTCAAATAACTATTATCCAAAAGTTCGTATTGTTTTTCTAACAATAAGAGCACTACACAAACACACAGACACGCACACGCACGCAAACATGCGTTTTAAAATGTATATATAATTATACTTACTGTTCTAGTCAAATTTAACGTCTGGCCATCACCATTAACATGAGCAGGACAACAGGCATTCAATGGAAGCAGCACTCAACTACATTCAATCAACGAAAAGTAAGAAGTTCAAGGACATGAATGATGGCAAAAACAAAAATAACGACGACGACGATTTTTACGACGCCTGGGGATTATTAAAACAAGTTGAACTTAAAGACAAATTTATAAAGAATTTGAACGAAAAACTCCAGGAAACTGAAACCAAGCTGAAAGCTCTCAACCAAAAATTTAAAATCAGAGGCAAGGAGTTTGATGAGTACATGATGAACCACAAAACGGACCTGTACAATCAATTAAAACAAAATCGGTCGTCTCAGTTAGATTCAATGAGGTCTGAAAAGAGATTAGCAGATGAAGAGAAACAATTGGAAACAATGACCAAGGAGGCATACGAGAAGATCGCCAGCATGGAAAGTAAGGACTCCATTGAGGATCTGGAAGGAGTTTTCGTAGAATTTCCGAACGGAAGTGATGAAGGGATGAAGACGCTTCTTGAAATAAAACCTACAGAAAAATTGAAATCATTGATCGACTTTCTTCTGAAAGGAAACGAACAAAAGGTACAGCTGCAGAAAAGTCTGACGGATCTCAAAAACGAAAGAGCTAAAATTTTAGAGCTCATGTCAAAAAAATTAGGCATAACATTTGACCAGAAAGATCTGCATAATGTAGATTTTGAGGAATTATTCGAAAACTTCGCACGTGATGTGGACAAAGAAACAGAAGAAAAAAATGAAATGAAGGAAAATCTCAATCTAATCCGAGAAAAATTATCGAAAGCCCTGGAAGACAACAGAGTGATAAAAGAGAAAGCCATGAAACTGGAAGACAATCTTAAAATGAAGGAGACGGAACGAAATCTCCGAAACCAGTCAGCGAAAGAAGGTAACAGCACCCCGGTCAATAACAAATCCGCGTCCAAAAACAAGAAAGTCCGATTTTGTAACCTGAAAACCACTCAGATCTATCCTTTCATGGAGAAGGATTTCGAACTCGTCAGCGCAAATAAACCCGCTGCAAACAACTTCAATTAACATTTGTTGCTCTTGTTGTCATATCTCGAAAAATATTCTTAGCACTAATTCGTTAAGTCATTGTCAATTGCTAACGTGAAGAGAAGAAAAAAGACTAAACTACTGATTAATAAGTTTTTTTATTTTAAATAATTATTTATATATATGTTGTAAATAAAACTGTAAATTGAACTGAAATATCAATACATGAACAGAAAATCTAAATAAATAAACAA